GTCGTGTATTTTGGTATTGGTTCCGATCTCGATTATTTCCATCGAAAGAATATAAGAATCGCATACATTTTATCATTCGTCGTGTTTACATTATCTTCGCAAATTTCAGATTTATAATAGATTGAGAATTTATAACATTGACCTCACGATAACACACATTTCATTTAATCTTAAATTTTAATCTAAATGTAAAATTTTAATTTAATTTAATTTAAATATTTTATTTTACTTATTATATATATCTCACTTTGCTTACTATTAAAAACAATTTTCTTTAATTTTGATATATGTACTTTGTTATTATAATTTTCAATTTAATTAATTTAATTAATTTATTTTATTTTGTCGAATAGATCCCCGTTTAATATACTGAATATTCTGTATAATCCGTTTTCTATATAGATTTTAATACAATTTTACTTGATTTCTCACTATTTCTTCTACTATCGTGCTATGCTGCACTGGCGAACCGCTTCATTCACAGTTTTGTTTAATTCCACTTTCATTCCGTCCCACACCCGTCCGTCTGTTGCAATCACTCGTCGGCGGGTTCGTTTCCTCCTCTCAACGATCGTGTATATTCCTCTCTGCCGGTTCGCGTCTAATTCCGCTCTAATCAAACTTCGCGTTTACACTTCATCGATCGATGTAATTTCATTCACGTAAAGCTTTGCTCTCCGATTACTTTGAAAACATCAGCGAAAACATCAGGCTCCCGCATCATTTCTCTCGTTTCTCCAGTAATCATCGCGTTGGCTGGTGCGGTGCAGTGGAACCAAGTTCGGTTTTCTTAATTAAATTTCACTCTCGCTCCGCGTCTCGCCTCGTCATTCTCGCGTAATGCGACCTAATTGCATTTTATAACTCATTCCTTCCCCCATTCCCCCTTTTCTCTCCACTATCTCCCCACAGTCCCACCCTTGTTCCATATTTCTTGTCTTCCGAGTATCGCGCATCTAGAGAGAGAGAGAGAGAGAGAGAGAGAGAGATCTTGATTTTGATATTGACCGTACTTTTTATATAGAGAATAGGAGAGAAAAGTCTTTTTCACATATAAAATTATAAAATTTTGATGGATTAATTTTATTTGCACAAATAAATAATAATTAAGGGATTTTTCATCTGTTTTTACAAACTCTTCTTTCGATGTAACTGTGTACTTTTATTGGCCTCCGCGAGTCCGCCGTCAATCAACATGGCTCTTCTGGGAACACTGTATCTGATGATCCCTTCTTCTTCTCTCTTCTTCTTTAACATTTGCTTTATCATATTAGATTTCGCCGAATTGGCGTATTCTGTTTCGATTTGCGCTGCGCCGAAAAAGTTTTATTGAAACGAGGAATGCGACTTGTATTTTTCATATAGAAGAGTTTCGCTTGTCTTTCCGCCAACGCGTTGAATAAATCTCTTATTCTGCAAAACATGAATCGCATAAGTGCAAAAATTTCATTAAACTTGGCGTGGAATAATGTAAAAAATTATTTCTTTTTTTAGGTCATAATATAATTTTGTAAAATGTCTTTCTTCATAAATAAAAAGAAAAAATATTAATAAATATGAATAAGTACAATCAATTTTTTTTTCAATTTATAACATTCTCTGAAATTTAGCAGGACTTTTTTTCTTAAATATTATAGATTGACAATATTAGTACATATTAATATCTTTTAATTATTTACAATGTATGCATTCAATCTGTCTTACGATTAGCTCATTACATTCTTTTTATTAGCTGGCATAATAGATTTCGTTTTCGAATTTTATTTTCTCGTTCTCGTAATATACTTTGTCGAAAGTATTACCTCATTTACAACACGCCGAAAACTTTCGGCGTTTGCGTTTCTCGGTCTGTTTGACGAGACGTTAAACAGAACGCAGTCGATATATCCCACGCCCGCCCGCGTTTAGGAGCGATGAATCATCGTTGCAAGCTGCGGGATGTAATTTAGGAAGCCGACACCATTCGAGCTTTCGCAAACGGAGTTGGAATCTGCGAGTTGAGCTCCTCTGGCAAGGATGCGGTATAATTCGACTTAGTTATGCATAGTATAATTTGCCTTTGCCAACATCTGGTAGAACAACTTATGCATCTAAAGCACATTTGCTTTCTTATTATTAATTAAGATCCGAAAATATTTTGTCTCAATTTTCTAAAAGAATTGTATCATTGAAAGTTAAAAATACTTGCAAGCATTTGCGATTTTCGCGATGGTTCGCTTCAATCATTTAACTATTCCCTTGATAATTTTTTTACTGTTATTTGGGGGGAACAGATTTCTTTTACACGCGGTCTTAAAAAGAAACAGAAACACGCGATTTAAATTAATTTCATCCTTTTCCCTCCCTTTTGATTTTTAATCATCAAATATATTTCGCGCTATCTACAACATCTCGACTTTGTGCGACGTGAACTCGCTTGTTCGTGAGTGCCGCAGTTAAATATACACTTTGCACACGTGTGTAGGTGTGTACTGCTATGCTGGCCAGAGAGAGAGGGTCGCCTTATTAATCTTATTCCATTCTGGTTCGAGTCCGGAAGTCGCGTTCGAAGCGAGTTCAACATCACGTTCGTCGGAATTCTAATCCTGAGGTTTCTGACCCCCCTAAAAGTTTTTGCTCTCTTCGCATCGACGTTGCGTAAAAGGACCATCAGTGTTCTGTGTTCTCCAACTTCGTTTCTTATCTGCATTCCATTTTTTTTTACATCCGCGTATATTTTTGCTTTTATTCCATCGTCTTAAAAACGCAACAAACGCTCCCATTTAACCGTCTCTTTAACGACGGCGTAATTAAACTCGCTCCCGCGCTCATTTCGCGCGGCTTTTAACTGCGTTCCATCGTCGTTGCGACGAGTTAATACGTTCGTATCGCAAGAATATATTACGTTGTTTTCGCGCGGGTTGAATCCGCCAAAATCTGACGGAACACATCGTTGCGTTTTATGGAATTTATTTTTACAAAGTATCAAATTTTTCTCTCTCATTGGCATTAGCATTTATTAACATCGATAAAAACACGTCACTTTGCGCGTGCAATTTTTTCAAATATTAATATCTTTGTATTACATGGAATATGTATTTTCTTACCGAATATTTTAGATATCCCGTAGATTTTAGCTTCAATTTTTAGCCAAGCGTTATGTGCGTTATCTAGACCGATATCAGAAAGAAATACTCTCGAACGTAAACTCTCAGAACGCAAACAACGGAGAACGCTCGTTTTCAGGGCCTCGAAAACCATCACTGTTTTTACACCGGCGGTCGTATACTAATTTTAGAAACTGATGATTCCCCATCGTCGTGGGCCGCGTTTATAAACATGATCTCACACTATGCCACGATAATAAAATCGAACGCATATACTGCAATGCGTTGTCGTCGGATCACGTGTGAGCCGAGCGTGGCTTCCGTAATTTCATTTGCGTCCCGCTTTACACGAGTTGTCTCGGTTTTTTTACAAATTAAAAGTTCATTTCTTTAGTAATTAATTTGTGTTTAAATGTCATATTTTAAAACCGTTCCGCGGAAACGGTAATATAAACTTTTTCTTTAAGTTATAAGAAAATATGAAAATAAAATTTAAGCTTCGCGAAGCTACGGGAAAAATTTTTCTCTTTTCTGTATAATTTAATATATAATTTAAAGTGATCTTAATCTAGCAAAATCTTAATTTAAGGTTTGATTATTGAGATATTTTTAACATGTATTAAATATTTCTTAAATTGTGAAAAGAACGATGTTTTATCAAATTTTCAATAAAAGAGGAAATAGCTGATCAAAGAAAATTTGCATATTAAACGAAAATGCATTTGATTTCGGACACTCTATACATCGTATGTAAATTCTTGGTGTAATATTCGAGGAAACTTGAATTACGCGTTGGTAACAGCTCATTAATCATTCTTCCAACCGAACAAACTTGGTGTTGATTATTCCGTAATCACGTAACTCGCGGTCAGAGATCATCAACTGAAACAGATTACAGCTTCGCGACAGCTTCATAACAGATTGCAACTCCATGTATCTAGAGAGAGAGAGAGAGAGAGAGAGAGAGAGATCTTGATTTTGATATTGACCGTACTTTTTATATAGAGAATAGGAGAGAAAAGTCTTTTTCACATATAAAATTAAACCCATTTGATGGATTAATTTTATTTGCACAAATAAATAATAATTAAGGGATTTTTCATCTGTTTTTACAAACTCTTCTTTCGATGTAACTGTGTACTTTTATTGGCCTCCGCGAGTCCGCCGTCAATCAACATGGCTCTTCTGGGAACACTGTATCTGATGATCCCTTCTTCTTCTCTCTTCTTCTTTAACATTTGCTTTATCATATTAGATTTCGCCGAATTGGCGTATTCTGTTTCGATTTGCGCTGCGCCGAAAAAGTTTTATTGAAACGAGGAATGCGACTTGTATTTTTCATATAGAAGAGTTTCGCTTGTCTTTCCGCCAACGCGTTGAATAAATCTCTTATTCTGCAAAACATGAATCGCATAAGTGCAAAAATTTCATTAAACTTGGCGTGGAATAATGTAAAAAATTATTTCTTTTTTTAGGTCATAATATAATTTTGTAAAATGTCTTTCTTCATAAATAAAAAGAAAAAATATTAATAAATATGAATAAGTACAATCAATTTTTTTTTCAATTTATAACATTCTCTGAAATTTAGCAGGACTTTTTTTCTTAAATATTATAGATTGACAATATTAGTACATATTAATATCTTTTAATTATTTACAATGTATGCATTCAATCTGTCTTACGATTAGCTCATTACATTCTTTTTATTAGCTGGCATAATAGATTTCGTTTTCGAATTTTATTTTCTCGTTCTCGTAATATACTTTGTCGAAAGTATTACCTCATTTACAACACGCCGAAAACTTTCGGCGTTTGCGTTTCTCGGTCTGTTTGACGAGACGTTAAACAGAACGCAGTCGATATATCCCACGCCCGCCCGCGTTTAGGAGCGATGAATCATCGTTGCAAGCTGCGGGATGTAATTTAGGAAGCCGACACCATTCGAGCTTTCGCAAACGGAGTTGGAATCTGCGAGTTGAGCTCCTCTGGCAAGGATGCGGTATAATTCGACTTAGTTATGCATAGTATAATTTGCCTTTGCCAACATCTGGTAGAACAACTTATGCATCTAAAGCACATTTGCTTTCTTATTATTAATTAAGATCCGAAAATATTTTGTCTCAATTTTCTAAAAGAATTGTATCATTGAAAGTTAAAAATACTTGCAAGCATTTGCGATTTTCGCGATGGTTCGCTTCAATCATTTAACTATTCCCTTGATAATTTTTTTACTGTTATTTGGGGGGAACAGATTTCTTTTACACGCGGTCTTAAAAAGAAACAGAAACACGCGATTTAAATTAATTTCATCCTTTTCCCTCCCTTTTGATTTTTAATCATCAAATATATTTCGCGCTATCTACAACATCTCGACTTTGTGCGACGTGAACTCGCTTGTTCGTGAGTGCCGCAGTTAAATATACACTTTGCACACGTGTGTAGGTGTGTACTGCTATGCTGGCCAGAGAGAGAGGGTCGCCTTATTAATCTTATTCCATTCTGGTTCGAGTCCGGAAGTCGCGTTCGAAGCGAGTTCAACATCACGTTCGTCGGAATTCTAATCCTGAGGTTTCTGACCCCCCTAAAAGTTTTTGCTCTCTTCGCATCGACGTTGCGTAAAAGGACCATCAGTGTTCTGTGTTCTCCAACTTCGTTTCTTATCTGCATTCCATTTTTTTTTACATCCGCGTATATTTTTGCTTTTATTCCATCGTCTTAAAAACGCAACAAACGCTCCCATTTAACCGTCTCTTTAACGACGGCGTAATTAAACTCGCTCCCGCGCTCATTTCGCGCGGCTTTTAACTGCGTTCCATCGTCGTTGCGACGAGTTAATACGTTCGTATCGCAAGAATATATTACGTTGTTTTCGCGCGGGTTGAATCCGCCAAAATCTGACGGAACACATCGTTGCGTTTTATGGAATTTATTTTTACAAAGTATCAAATTTTTCTCTCTCATTGGCATTAGCATTTATTAACATCGATAAAAACACGTCACTTTGCGCGTGCAATTTTTTCAAATATTAATATCTTTGTATTACATGGAATATGTATTTTCTTACCGAATATTTTAGATATCCCGTAGATTTTAGCTTCAATTTTTAGCCAAGCGTTATGTGCGTTATCTAGACCGATATCAGAAAGAAATACTCTCGAACGTAAACTCTCAGAACGCAAACAACGGAGAACGCTCGTTTTCAGGGCCTCGAAAACCATCACTGTTTTTACACCGGCGGTCGTATACTAATTTTAGAAACTGATGATTCCCCATCGTCGTGGGCCGCGTTTATAAACATGATCTCACACTATGCCACGATAATAAAATCGAACGCATATACTGCAATGCGTTGTCGTCGGATCACGTGTGAGCCGAGCGTGGCTTCCGTAATTTCATTTGCGTCCCGCTTTACACGAGTTGTCTCGGTTTTTTTACAAATTAAAAGTTCATTTCTTTAGTAATTAATTTGTGTTTAAATGTCATATTTTAAAACCGTTCCGCGGAAACGGTAATATAAACTTTTTCTTTAAGTTATAAGAAAATATGAAAATAAAATTTAAGCTTCGCGAAGCTACGGGAAAAATTTTTCTCTTTTCTGTATAATTTAATATATAATTTAAAGTGATCTTAATCTAGCAAAATCTTAATTTAAGGTTTGATTATTGAGATATTTTTAACATGTATTAAATATTTCTTAAATTGTGAAAAGAACGATGTTTTATCAAATTTTCAATAAAAGAGGAAATAGCTGATCAAAGAAAATTTGCATATTAAACGAAAATGCATTTGATTTCGGACACTCTATACATCGTATGTAAATTCTTGGTGTAATATTCGAGGAAACTTGAATTACGCGTTGGTAACAGCTCATTAATCATTCTTCCAACCGAACAAACTTGGTGTTGATTATTCCGTAATCACGTAACTCGCGGTCAGAGATCATCAACTGAAACAGATTACAGCTTCGCGACAGCTTCATAACAGATTGCAACTCCATGTTCATTTGTAATGTAACGAGGTCTCGACGAGAACTCGCAATAGTAGCTCACTGTGTCTAGTTCCTTATCGGAGATTATGCTCATGGCGGATGAAAAGTGTCTCATTAGTGACTGTCCTCTTCGTTGAGATATATAGTCGTGCCTTTATCAATACTATTCGACCGCTACTCGGAAACTCAATAAAGCCACCACTGTCTCTCGCGATCAAGCTTTGTAGATCGGAAATAAAGAGCAAAAGTCGACGTAATTTATCTCGCATATAATCTTTCTTATCGTTGCAATTTTTAACTCACGATTAATATCGCAGAAATAATATTTGATAATCAATCGCAACATGTGTATTTATTATTAAATTTATTAATTACGATAATTTTTAATGATCTATAAACATTAATTACGATAATTTTTAATGATCTATAAACGTTAATTACGATAATTTTTTATGATTTATAGACTTTTCCTGATATTTGCGACACACACACACACACACACATTTGCATACATTATCAAATTAAACGATGGTGTATCGGTAACATTTAGATTAAACGAATGCACATCAAAGGAGAAAGATTAATATCCCCGATTTCGGTCAAGGGAATAGTAAAAAGGAGACCATCATTCAACTGCTAATTGTCTGCTATCGGAAACCGATGATGTACCGCGACAGTGTAAAATACGCTTGAACGCCAATTTTCAATTATCGCATCACAATAACGTCGCGTATGGAACAAAAACCGTCTTCGTGCTCTTATTCTGTACCACTAACCCGGCTTATAACGGAGATGCGAAAGAAACAAAACTACGATGCTATTACGAGCCTCCTATATAACGTGACTTGCTTTCAATGTGCTTGGATGATAATGCGTCAGTTTAATGAAGCAATTATCCTTTATGAAGCAATTATCCTTTACCGTGGTGAATTGCCAAAAAAGTCCTTTTAATTGCGACGTACGCGAATAAGTCGTGAATAAAAAAACGAAAAGAACAATTAAACTTTCTTCGCGTTTTGTCACATATAAAATTAGACAACCGAGAAATAAAGAGATTTATGGTTTTTAATTACGAATTAATGAACGAGTAAAATTGCAACAATCGCGCAACATCGTGAGGTCTGGGGAGCTTCTCCGCGTTGAAGTGTCGCATCAGGGTCATCTTTAAAACTCTACGTGTGATGCAATCCGGCGACACAACAATCCAATTACCCTGCGCACATCGGTGCAACGCGCGGCGCTGTGCAAGACCAGTCTTACTCGCGTTCGCCAGTAGGTTTCGTACGGTCGGTTCACCATCTTCCACCCTCTTGTTCCGCCCTGTTCTGCCCCGGGAATCGCGATGTCTTGGTCGTGGCGCAGCGAGATTTCCGATCGGCAGTTCGTATCAGGTCAAACCACCCGCGTGATTAGTATCTCCTTATCTTCTTCTATCCTTGTAATCGCCAAGCGCTCCCCGATCAAGTCCACCACCCTGAAGAATATTCGTCTTTTGCAGCAGCAACGGGAGGGCGCCAGTATCCAGCAAGCCACCCCTGCCGCCGCAACCGCCGCGCGTCGCCGCCCTGGGTACGACGACGCGAGCGTCGGCGTCGCGCCGACGCGCCGCCACGGACCTCGGTAACCCGGCGGCGATCGAGATGGCGAAGGCCCGTGCGATGCAGGCCGCCCAGGAGCGTCCGGTCGGCCTGCTCGAGACCGATCTCGACGAGGCGGTGATCGACACGAGTTGCACAAAGTACACAGCTGGTTCGACCGCCGCTACCGCCGCCGCCGCTGCTGCCGCCGGCGCCGGTGGTAAGAAGACCCGTAGCCTGCTCGACCTCAACCACACCTCGGCGGCGGCGCCGCGGCCGCGACCCGAGCACGCCCTCCACGTACCCCAGTCGCCCATCGACAGGAGTCCTCGCGACGACGTCGCGTCTGCCGCAACGTCCGCTATCCACCAGCGGCCCCACAAGTCCATGGAGTTCCTCCTCGACAAGGAGAACCTGCACTTTGTCAAGGTGAGTGTGATCTCTCGTTCGCGACCCTTTATCTCGCGTAGATTAATATCCGGTATACGATGCGACGAGAGAGAGAGAGAGAGAAGCGAAATTCCTAAATTCATAGATCGATCTCGACGATGACATCTCGCCTAGGAGGCAGCTCTCGCGACGCGTGATGTTGCGAACTTATCGCGGCGAGGATCGATAGAGGCCTAGTTGGGAAGATCGAAGGAAGGCATTTATATTGGATCTTGACGAGAGAGAGAATTTCTCTTTCATATACACGAATTTGATCTGTCACGCTTGAAATCGATTGCGCGTGAAATTGGGGAAATAAAAATCACCTCTACTTTTTAAAAAGATGAATATTCGTATTTTATTGAAGGCTGTCATGTCGTAACATTAAAAATAATTGTGATAAATGTCGCTGCGATAATCTTATAAAATCGAGAATGATTATTAACCATTATTCCTTAGGTAGTGAAATAAATTGATAAATCTTTGTTTTATTGAAGCATATATTTTAGTGGTCTACAAATTAAATGAAAAATTTTGGACAAAGTGATATCGCGAAATTAAATGGAATTAATTGTTTCTATGCAGGCATGTATGATCTGCATCGCTGTTCTCCAACACAGGTTTTGATCGACGTGTTAATTAACTTATGTTCTTCGCTTTATCGTGTCAGAAATTAGCATTCATTTAATTAACGTCGCGTCACACGCGTATCAATATCATCGAATGATCTCATCGGCTTATCTGATATGTCTTTGCATCTACGAATACAACCATATAACAATATCTATTACATATACTATATATTGAATAGGTTTACACGTGATATAAATTTCAAGATAAATTTCTTCTAAAAAGATTTTTTCTCTACTAGATATAAATTCGATTTCAAAGATATATTTCAGGAGGGGAAAAAATAGTTGTTAAGTAATAAAATGAGCCGATTGGATCCAATTTGACTTTGAATATGCTTCGTTTACGCTTTAAGATTGATTCAAGTATCGAGTACCTTCACGGACAAATCGCTGTAACCGCGTACTAGAAACCACCGTTCTAATCTCGCCGTCGACAGAACACCGCAAGAGTGTCCCTTATATTGACAGGTTAACTAAATTGGGTTTTCCCAGATCAGTTTCTCTTAGTGCTTCCGAAGCGACGAATCTCGCCGATACACCTTCGATTCTCTACTTCCTCTTGGTCGGTTTGTCGCCTAGGTATATATTGCGGCGAGGATCGATAGAGGTTCCTTCCGCGATTAGGCGTGCGACGACGAGTGTCGTAGAATCTTTCTTCCGCATTGGCGTATTTTCCCGATATATTCTTTCCTGAGATTTTCTTTCAGAAAGATTTCGTTGATCGGAAATTAACAATTATCATTTCCTCTTCGGTCGTCAAATATTTTTAAACTCTTTGATTCCACGATTTGCAGAGTTCTTACTCGTCGAAAGGGAAGCCTTAAGTTTTCGCACTTTCATTTACACGACTAAAAAAATTGTAGGACTTATTTTATAAAAATTTCTAGACGATATAATTTTGTTGCGAAATTATCGCATGACACGATTTCGAAACTTTTGCACACTGTGTGCGTGTTTTCACAATGTTATGAAGTTATCGTATACGAGAACTTGGTTGGACAGAGGCTCTCTCTCCCGCTTCGTCCTGCTTTCTCTCCGGCGTATTTCCCGCAATGACGGTTCTGTTACACGTTTGCGAAAGATAGAGACATCGATTCCGCCGCACACGTAATATAATTATTGCTACGGCAATCTCGTCCCTCAAACATAATCGAAACGTATAGACTTGACTCCATAAGATAGGACCAGAGAATCGATTTTCCATTTTTTTTTTGTCGTCAATCGCGCGATGGACAAACTTTGACATTATACTAAATAAATGATTGACCACTTAACCTTTTCAATATCGAAGGACACGGTGCGTTTTATAATGTGCGTAATCGTCTAAAAAAAAATTTGTTTACATCTTCGTGAAAAATAATCTCTTGTAAATCTTTTAAATATAAAGTCCATTCATTTTAAATGCTCAAGTTATGCAATAAAACTTTTTTTTTTCAAATTCAGCTACTCGGTCTAAACTAGTATAGGACGGACTTTCGAGACGCCGTGTATGTGACCTAGCCGAGCATAAGAGGAAGGTGGCTTTAATAAGAGTCGACGGTCATGGGGTTACGCTTCACGGGACGGTCCCCGCTCGACGATCGGCATCGTGAGACTTGCGTCGATCATTCGTTCCGTTCGTGCCTCTTAAATAGAGATACACACGTAATGAAGACCATTGACCCTGCGCTTTAGTTCACGCCCTTCCTTTTTACGCGTGCACACGTTTCGATCGGCTCATTTAGCGCTAGCTAGTCCGCTATAGGCTCTCTATAGTCAAGCTATTTGGTGCTATATATTACGGTATTTAACAGCTATTCTTGTCGCTAAAAGAAATCGCGACCGAAACGAATTCTTGTTAAACGCACGAGAATGAGGACGCCGAAAGCAAGAGCGTGGGAAAGGACAGCGAAATTGGGATTTTCGAAAGATTCTTTTTACGAGCTTTAATACAATACGCAACGTAATATAAAAATAATGTTTGTGGCAAATTTCTAATACAGTGACCCGTTTTATTAAGCAACCTCTCGCGTTAGCCTCTCCAAGAGCCGGGAAATTATACAATCGCGTGCATGCACGATTTCCGTTTTTCTTTTTTTAATTGATCTAACTCGCGCGAGGGAAATCCTTGAGATGTTTGTTTATACCCGGTAGTCTTTCTTCTTCGACATTCTAAAAAAGAAGCAAGTTTCTCGCTTATTTCCTTTTATTTCATCTTGTTCGTCCATTTGCCATTCTTTTCTATTCTATTTTCTTCCTTTCCGCGTATCTTTTTTTCTTGTTTTTCTCCCCTTGTCTTACTTATTACGTAACGAGGAAAGACGAAAAGAACAGAACGAGGACCTTCAGAGGAAGGAATTCGGAGGGTAACGAGGTAAATAGAAGAGAGGATGAAATCTCGCGACAGGTCGATAACCCTTATGCGCATTCTTCTGGAGTCGAGAGAGAAGGCTCGACAAAGTATCGTCTCTATAAAGAAGACCATCTTGCGGAAGAAGTGACTTTGCGCAAAAGTGCTTTGATCCGCCATGTCCGCAAGTATCTTTAAAGATTCGCAACAACGTCGAATAATCGACTAATTTGACGGGTCAAAAGCATAAAAATAACACATTTCCAAAAATCATTAGATTCATACAACGATACATCTATTAACTACTTGAGAAGAAACCTGTTCGCGCATTGTTGCGAGATAATCGATAGCCGTTTAGATAAAAATATCACTTGAACGCATCATGCGAGCCTTATTGCTGTAAAATAGCAACGAAGACTTGACATAAAGGAAGCTGCGAGTATCGTGAATTATATAGCAACTTATTTTTAAATCATTATAAAATATCTCTAGACAAAAAAAAAGAGAGAGAGAGAAGGACGGAACATGATTCTTAATCTATACATGTATACAATAAAAAATTATAGAAACGTATAAAAAATTAAAGAAGAAATTAGGGACTATTTATGATAATATCGAATTATAGACATCTCCGTGAATATATTAAAAATATTCGTATAAAAAGATAAGTAACAAACTACTTCCCGTTATATAAAAACCTCAATTAGCCTTACATCAGATATAACATGTGCGGTTAATTTCTGGCGATTTGGAGAGCAAGGTTGGATCAACCGAGGAAATCTCAAACACGGTCACGTGACTTTCTGGGCCGAGCTCGATGCAAATATTCAGCTTATGTCCAGTGTGTCCGTGGCTTTAACAATACCTCCTCCCTCTTCCCGTGCTCTCTTCAGCTTCCTCCTCTCATCTCGCTTCTACCTTCTACCAGCGTGGTATATTGATCGACCAACATCAACGGCAGCGGCTCGTCCCGTATCTATGTATGTGGGTGCTCTTGCGCGCGCGCGTTTCTTTGTGTACGTGTATTACGCTTCGTGGGTTTCGCGATACGCGCATTTTCACATACGAATGCATAAACCGATCTCTCTCTTTCTCTCTCATTCCGCTTCATGCATTCCGCTCGGCCATCCAAATCTCTATTAACGCGCGAATCTATGCCACGTTCCACGTTGATCCGAAGGTGACGCTTTTATCCAGTTGACGTTATCCTCCGGAAAAATTATTTAATTGCTCTCTCCCCTTCCACATTTTTTATAAATTCTTTGTGCGTGACGATTCAGGAATTTTTCTTTAAAAAGTTTATAATAGACTTGGAAGAACCTCTCTCTCTCCCTCTCTCTCTCTCTCTCTCTCTCTTTTATTTATAATATTTTATTTATATAATTATTATGAATATTTTTATTAAGATAAAATTTATCAATTGGCACGCATCTTGGGGGAGCAATGTTCTGAAAAATTAATATTATTTATTCTTTGAGCGTGACACCGCGCAAATATCAATGACGGTAAAGCGATTAAAATCGCCTTGTTATTATCCTCGCGCAATTCCGATGTCAAGTCGCAGGTACGTTTATTAATGCGATATATTAATCATCGAGATAATTTCGATTTGTTGACTTCGAAATGAGAGTCAAAGAGCCGCGGGCGTTTCCTTTTTGATGATGATCGAGAGACTCGCGTTCGTTAAATGTAAACATATGACGGTAATGTACATAATAAATTTTTTTTTGATTTATTATCTGATTGTGCGCACAATTTCTCGTACCTGTACTATCGTACTATAAATATTACGTGTTAGCTTATTCCGTTGACGCATTGAATAAAATCCCATTTATTTACACGTCGCGTACATACGAAGTGAAGGAAGTATATCCGGAAGTACTATCGAACATTTAAATGTACATTGCATTCTATCTATTTGATAACTCGAGAGAGTTTACAAGAGACCCACGACGTATAATTCTGCGATGTAATAAATATTGTACATTCGTGCGGATATCCCTGTTAGCGAAATTGTTCGCAAATTCTGTGCGATTCGC